GACCTAGCCAGCCGCCTTCGCGTCAAGAAGCAGCGGGAGTACGCTGCGATCAAGGATGCTGACATGCCCAAGCCCTTCAAGCATGCTGCAATCGCGCTCAAGTACAGCTTGGACCTCCAAGAGGACCTATTTGGTGCCTCCTGAACTGGCAGTGATGTAAGTATTTTCTGTTCCTCATTGAATCAGTTGACTAATACCTGAACGCAGGGGGATGATGAGGCTTCGTCTGAAGGAGTCTCACTTGGTCATGAGATTCAGATGAATCCAGCATCGTTGAGGGCGCTATCCTGGGCATCATCGAAACGACTAGGCTCTGTGTGGTGATCATAAGCTACATGCTGAGACCACCTCACCGAGCATGGGAGTTTGAATGGTGCTCAGGACGGCGCCGTCAACGATGCTGGATTCATCTGAATCTCAGGACCAAATGGCTTCCTTTGCAGAAGTGAGCCTGAGGTTTGAAGAGCAAGACTACCTGATCAAGTCCAAGCTTGCCAGTTGGGACTCGTGGCTGAGAGCTTGAATCAGCAGAGAGAACTTGGTTGGAGAAGGTCGAGGTGTTGACAGGTTGTCGGGATGAGGACGATTACGAAGAACAAGAGGGGAAGCTGGGTAAAACGGGGACAGCGACAGGTTGTGAGGGATGAGGACGATTACGAAGAACAAGAGGACGAGGCTGAGCAGAGCGGGGATGGTGAAGATATTATTTGGACTTTATGGACAAAGAGTAACAAACACAAACTATCGAAACACTTCACTTGGATTTTCAAACCCATCTTCACTCGCAATCTAGAACAATCAAGTTCAAATCATTTCACTCTCGCGATAGCTTCCAACACCCATACATGCCTTTATATACATGTCGATCGCTCTCTCCGTATATCCTGCCTCTACCCAAGCAATGAGCGGCACAAATTCATCCGCAGTATACAGTACTCCATCGGTGTTTGACTCACCACCCGCTTTTTGTTATCCCGTGTTTCTCGTGACCACCATACTTCTATGCAGGCTTCATCCGGGTCAGGCTTGCACCTAATATCGTTCTACTTACCATCTGACTGCAGTTTGGGTAAGACCTGTAAACAAAACTCATCAATGGTTTGCAGTTCAGCCCTCCAGGATGTTGAATTACAGTCCAAGGCATTGTGTACTAACAAGTCGCATCGAGACATCAGATAAGGCATTGCAAATCACTAAAGACATTTGTTGTCGGTAACTGGTCTTACATCCTTGTAGGACCATTATTCTTCATTAAACCGCCGCCAGGAAACTAAAAAAAACTATTTACTGGGCCATGGTGTTGGCCTTCTGGCGAGCGATGTCGCCCCGACTTCTGTTGTCGTACTTGGCCGCGATGGCCTGGGCAGAAAAGCGATGGGAGGCCCCGGTCCTGGCCATCACCTCCTCCACACAACGCCAGAAGCCGGGGGACCCCAATTCCATCGTCCCGACCACCGCGTCCACGGCGCGTTTCATAACCTCAACCTGTTTAGCCGTGTTAGTTCAAAGTGTTGGCAAGAGAGAGGTAGGCAACTTACGTCTTTAACTTTCCAGCGCGGGATGCGAGGGCGATCGGAGGGGGGCTTCTTCATGCGGTCCCAGCCGCGGAGGGTGCTGAGGGAGGTGCTGAGCTCCCCGAGGTTCTTGATGTCGGCGTACGAGACGCCATGGAGGCGGAGGAGCCGCACGAAGCTTCGCTTCTCCTCTCGGCCGACAGGCAGCGACATGAGTCTCTGGATGAGGGCGGGGGAGGTGATCTCGTACTCATCGAGCACCGCGCGGATCTTCTGGGCCCGAGTCTGAGCCGGCAAGACTCTGCTGGGGCCGCCCACCGAGCCTCCCAATACGGCAGCAGGAGACTCTCGGACCGCACCCACTGCAGCAGGAGACTTTCCGTGGGCGGAGACGGGAGAGCAAGACATTGCCTCTTGGTGGTGGTCGGAGGCGGAGGAGAGGGGAGGAGATGGCAACTGTGTGCTGGCGGAAGAGTCTGTACAGTGTTAGTCTTGAGCACGTTAAGGTAGAAGATAGTAAAACATACCGGAGGCGCAGCAGGCGCAGCTGTTGTTTGAAGGGAGGCTTGGGGGTGGGAGACGCGAGAGGTAGTTGTGTGTAAAAAAGGGTAAAGGCTCCGTCTTGATGGGAGCGAGCTGGTCTTTGGCAAGTCAGCAAAGGGCCAAGTCTGGAGTGATATGGGAGACCAAACATACCTTGGTAAAGACTGCGGTAGATGTTGGGGGAGGGGAGGATGGGCAGAGGCAGATTCGGGGGTGGGTGGTGTAAAAAGCAGTCTTGTTCACGTTAGACCAGGACTGCAAAGACTTGTAGCATGGGAAAGAGAAACCATACCTGGGCAGCTATAATCGCTTGAGAGACTTGATGGCGGTGGACTCGGGAGGAAGTTGTGTGTGAAGTTATCTTGTCCAAGTCAGCACATACAGAGCCAAGGCAAGATAGTGTGAGAGGAGGAAGCATACCTGAGTAGCCTAGGCTACTGGTTTGACTCGAGGTGAAGCTCGAAGCGCAGAGACAAGGCTCGGAAGAGAAAAACGGTTGTTGGCGCAGAGGCAGAGACTGAGATGTGAAGTGATGAGGAGGAAAGAAAGAAGAGTAGAAGCCAGGCCAAGTTTCGGCGTTATATAGACGAGCCAGAGAGCTCTCATCCTCGAATTTGACCATTTCCATTGTTCCTATTGCTCTGGAAGTGCTCAATAGGAATTCAGACGTAATGTATTGTTGCTACTCGTCACAAGCAATAGCTCTCAGTGGGGTCAGGAGCCACTCTGCGTTGTTAGTGGCCCCAGACAGGTGCGAATTATGACGACAGGGCCAATGAGTGAGTGAGAGGATGGACGACAATGGAGGGACAATAGCAGAAGAGGTAGATGCAGCAGTGCACGAGGTCAAGGGACAATAGAAGAAGCTAGAAAGGGAGCAGTGGACAATGAGCTATCGTTGTAGGAACAGACTTGATGGATATTCAAAGGTCAAAGGAGGGAAATGAGCTTCTGATATAGACAATCAGAGCAGTGCACAAGCTCAATAGCCCCCATGGAAGAACAGTATCACAAAGCTCTCCCCTGACCTAATGACACTGAGGATGTAGAAGACCCAAAAGGGAAGAGTACGTGCACCTAAACCTGCGAACTTGCCTCCACACGGAGAGCTTCACTACCCCCTCCAACTTGGATAGTCTCCCTTGTAGGCCCAGCGGTCCTGTGCATACCTACATACATACATACATCGCTGGCAGGGGTGGGTTGAGCTGCAGCTGAGATCTGGGCCCTAGTGGGATCTTGGAGCTAGTGACGTCTGCAGGCGGGGACAGGGGTAGGTAGCCCGGGTAGGTCGACCCGCTTGTGGGAGCGGGACTTTGCAGTGTTTGTAGTTGTCGTGATGTCGAGGGGAGGGGAGATTGGGAGAGGGGAGAGAAGAGATGTGGCGGTTTAAGCGTATTGGATGTGATGTGAGATGTGATCTGTTGCGTGACATGCTGCATGGACATCGTGTAAATCTTGATAAAGGCTATGCATCTCGGAGATCTCGGATGGCCGTAGCCTAGATGGAGATGGTGGGATATTCGTTCAAGGTACAACTGCCAGGCTGTGAGCAGAGCCAGATCACAGTATGGTACGGCGAGATGCCTCTTGACACCATGGATGTAATCTATCACTGCATAAATCTACTTGTCACCAGCACAAAGGATGAATTACAAGTACTGCAGAAGACGGAGGTAGTGACACTTGCCAGCTATCCGGAATGGCGGTGATTATGTCAAGACGTCGTGGGAGAAAGCTCTGTGTAGGTCAGGATGTCAGGATACCACCAGCTCAACTCCGTGGTAGTACAGTAACAAAGTAGTACAGAGCCAAAAACACCAAAGGCAATCATCACCAAGACAAAGAAACCTCCGTACCTAGATCTGTAGTGACATTGCTCGATGTGACGCTTTTGGCGGTTTATGAAATAGGTTAGTGCTCACGCCGCAATCCAGGAACCAGAAAACACCAAACGTCTCCACCCAACCCGAATTTGGATGGCTCTCAAAGCAGACGCAGTAGCTACATCGTTCTATGGGAACACCAATGCAGACACTTCGCAAGAGAAGCATGATTCCACCATCAACGGCCTTATTAGCTCTTTATCCTGCTTTGTACTATCCGCACGCGTACCTGCAGGCATCCTGTCCGGTCGATTTCGCCAGAGAAAATCAAACAAGTCATTCACTCTGCGACTTTCGGTACCCAGCATAACACTTGAGCATCCAGACCACCGGGAATCATATTCCGCTTTGCAAGTACTCACTTATTGACGTCTTCACCACTATCTCCTCACATCATAGTATGCATCTGCTAACTTCTTTGTTGAGGACACCCCCTGTTTTCCCGTCAGTTTTTGCTCAAGCAAACGAACGAACGAACGAACCGCCCACTTCGAAACCCGTTTTCCGCTCCCGTCAGCCGTCTTCTCCTCCTCCTCCCTCTCATTTCTTCTTCTTCGCCTCAAAAATCTCGTCGTTTGAGATAGGAGAGGAAAAAACGTTTCTTCTTTCGAAACTACAAAGGCCGCTTTTCCTCGTCAGGACGTAACTGCATACCAGCTATCCAGACTTGTGTGATTTCACGGCATTTGTCATGTAGCCGCGTGGAAACCCGCGTGGGAGGCGTCAAGGATGGGCGGTGTAGTAGAGGGTGTCAAAAGCGAAGTGAGACAGAAAACGGTCGTGGGGGGGAGGAGGGAGGGTGTGTTGGTAGTCATTGGTATGTGTGTGTGTGTGTGTGTGTGGCTCAAGCCATGTGATGAGATGCAACTTCATACTTGCTTGAGTTTTATCTCCGGGAACTGCAGCGATCAGACCAGATGCAGATATCGGTTTTGGGAAATACGACGATCAGGCCAGAGATGATCATCAAACTGGTAATGTCGGCTTCGGGAAGACTCGACTGAGACGAGATTGGAGGAGCTCACGGGCTGACGGGTTACAGATTCTTGTTTGCAGAAGATCAAGTTCCATTTTCAGGAGATAAACACCACGGCAATGACGAACTCTCTCGCCATAACAATATAATATACTCCCGACCGAAGCCCATTCGTATCCCAAGACCGAGTTCGAAGGTCCGCTAAGTTTGCCTCATCGGCTATCTCGAGGCCGCCAGGCTGCACGAACCAGCTGCATACACACATACACATATACATACATATATACATACATACCTTACATGACGCAGTCGAGGGCCTCCACGTCTCCACACACGGCACGATAGATATGCATTGGTGAGAACGTCACGGGAAGGCCATCGCACATTGACGCCGGTTCGGCTGAAAGGAGTAAAGCTTTGTTTTTCTTGCAACTTCTGGCTTCTGGCGTCTTCTTCTCTTGTTCTTCTTCTCTCGGGAAAACTATGCGAAGGAGGGTCCTTATGCAAGGAGTGTTCTCGGCAACTGCTGTCACTCACGTTTCTTTTTGCGGAGGTGGTATCCTTTCCGCAGACAGACAATTCGTCAATTACATGAGCCCTGTATCTTAGACTTTAGCTGGGAGGTACTGCTCATTTCATCACTTGATCAAGAACGTGTGTATTATTCCGCGATGCATCGCATGTAATACCTGTTGTGCATCCCATCAAAACAGATTTGTACGCATTTTACCCCCCAGGCATTCGGTTCCAGGGGCCGAGACAACGACCGTTGTGAGAAAAGTGCCAGAGCCGTTGGGAGGAAACAAGGCTTGCAGGGGTAGTCTTCTCTCGGAGTGTGGCTCTTGTCTCTCTAGCTGGGCTTGGATTGTCTTGCATTCTCAGCCCGGTTTTATCTTGCGTGCATATGAGGATCGAACCGACACCCGGGGGCCGGGTAGATGGACAATATGAGATTTGAGATTTTACTTTTTTATCCCCGAGAACAGGTCATATTCGATATGTATTATGCATGAAGCGAGCGAGCGTCATGCCATGCCATGTCGTGGCCATTGAAACGAACGGCGCTTCCGGTTCGTTTCCCCGTTTGGTGGGCTTGTGAAGATCTCCTCGTGTTGATCTGAGATCCGATCAATGTTTCATTGCATTAGCCAGCCTCGTTTTCAGCGGGGGCCATTTGTTGCTGTTGCTGTTGCTGTTGCAGCTGTAGGTAGGTTGGTAGGTATCTTGCTCATTCGAACCACGTCGTAGTGGTGTTGATGAACCACGAATTGGCGTTGGCGATGGCTTCATTCTGTCTCTCCTCTGCAGTCACTACAAACGTCCTCTCAACACGTGGGCCCCTGGACTAACCAACCCACGAACCATCTTGTTCCCCCCTCAAATCTCTTTTATGTAGTTATCTCGTCAACGACAATTGGGCGACTGCCATGCTTGTCCAAACCCACGCGTTGCCCGAAAATGGCATCAGCTACATGAATGTGGCTTTGATCTGCCTCCCTATTTCCTGCGTGGCGTTTTCTCGTAACTTTGGCTCCGGAAACGTGAAGAGAATAGAGTGTCCTTGGTTAGGAACGTCTAGGCATGGGCCGTACCGCTCACACCGTCTTTAAAGAAAAGTCTTTAGCTTAAGCCTGTGTCCTAAGTTTAAGCTGAGCTGAGCTGCTTTGGTGGGATATGATAGGTGCTTTACAGCGTGTGGCTGCTTAGTTTTAGTTCGCAGCTCCAGAAGCAAACGTGCGAACACCATTAGCCTACTGCAAGACCTCGCATTGACAGTCCATACTTTGAAGGAGCACGGAGTACATGCTCCCAATTGGGAACCTGTCTTTTCCAAGGTACCCGACACCGTGGATGGCTTGAGGCACTGATAAGACTCGGCCGCGAGTTTTGTGTAATGGTGCAGGGTAGCTCAACAGCCATGACAAGACACTTTCACAATGAAGACTGATGGCACTCCTCAAGCCACATCACATTCATACATACCTACACCACATAAGAGAGACGCAGGCCTGGAAGAGGAATTTGATCAACTTTGACATGTTTTTGAAGTACCGAACAATTTCAAGCCCAGTACAACCGGTGACTATTATCGTGCCCCTAAAACTCCGAAGATGTCCGTTCTAAATATGCGAGCCCAATCCAGGCCCCAAGACAACAACACCCAGTGACAAAGAAACACCACGCATCTATGATCCTCCTACTCTACACTCAATCCTCCCACTCCTCATCTAGTTGGTCAATCAGCCGATTCTCGGCATCTCTATCCTGCTCTCTCCGACTCGGACTCGAGTGTACTTGTTGGTAGCCACGTCGAACGGTAAGTCGTCTCAGACAAGCCGTGAAGCAGCAAAAACAAAGTTCCTATAAAACCAAAAGAGAAAACCCCACCTGTCAGCCCCCAATTTCTTTTATATATAAAACCAAATGACAAAACGGGAGCAAAAAGCGAAAACAAAAGAGAGAAACAAGAAATGAACTCAGGGAGAGTATCGCTCGGGCTTGGAGCCGGGGAGGGGACGACGCACGCAGATGAAGCTCCAGATTCCCGCCCATAAGCTGTAGTTGGGGAGTTGTCGCCAGCCGCGCGCATGGGTCACCGTTCGGTTGTAGAAGATGCCGCCGAGGAAGTACACGAGCACCGCGATCACGACGATGAGTCCGAAGATGCTGCCGGGACCGACGCTACCGGGCTTGTGCGGCTCTGCGTGGGCGCATGCGTGCGAGGAGCGGACCTCAAAGAAATAGGCGCACTCGTCTGGGTCTGTG